ATGTTGACACAATTAGATAAAATGAAATTGTCTAGACATGTAAGGTTAACAAGAAAAGTTAACTCATTTACTTTGGTAGCTGGTGGTGTCGAAAAATGGGGAGGTCACTGGGGAAAATTGAGGAGTCGATCTGCGGAGGGCTGAGTATAGGCCCTTGTTTCATATGCGGACAGGTGGGACACCTAAATGCCAACTGCCGTCAATGGTATGATAGGGGAACAACACACACCAGACCTGGAGATAACAGGGACAGACAAAGTTATAGGTATAGAAGTCAGACTGGATATAATGTGAATAAATATCAAATGCCCATACACGAGACAAAGTGTCTAGGGACGAAATACAACCGACTGGATAAAACATAAGGTTCTAAGAGGTGGGGAAGGAAGGTTCATATAGGTCCACGTACTTGCGAAATGCAATTTGTTGATAGTGTGTACGAATACTCAGAAAATCAACAGGGAGGCTAAAAATTGAAAAAATGTTTTTTATTTGGGAGGGGGGGTCTTCCTACTTCGTGACACAGGTTGTACAATAGTGGGTTGCAGAAAGAGTTTGGTATCTGAAAATTAAATAAGTGATAGGACGTATCAAATTAAACTTATTGATGGTACGATGAAGACGTATCAAACAGCTTATATTAATATTGAAACCCATTATTTTAGCGGAAGATATGTGGCCGCTCTTTTTGAGGACCCAGTAACGGATATTATATTAGGAAATGAAATGGAAGAAGATAACAGAGCCTCATGCCACCACGGTAATGTAGTTACTAGATAACAAGCTATTATCTCCTAGATGTATATTGGCCTGTTTTGTTTATGTTTTCAAGAGATGAAAGACTTAGAATAAGTATGCTGGTATGCAGTTTTAGGAATGTTGCGTTTTGTATTTTATTGTGGTATATTAAAGATTTTTTCATTTCTCTTTTAATATGGCTGACTAGTACCGCGCTTCGAGCCTTTGGGGATGAAGAGTGAGTTTCAAATAAACGTTATTATTATTAATATTAAAAGAGATTTAGCGGGTGATAGAACAATGAAAAATGCAATTACGATAATTCCCACAATATTAAAGAACATAAATTGAGCAGAGGATCAAGCCAGTGATATGGGGTTAACAAAATACTGGACAAAACCGGAAAGTAATTGTGTCGAGCACACAAAACAGGGACAAATCACTTACGAGATAAGTAAAAAAAAATATACCTAGAATTTACCTATAACATTGGTGGTAGGATTGAGAAGAAAGTAGTTGTACCTGCACCATACCGCAGGATGGTCTTAGACACAGCTCATGTTTCAGCGTTAGCGGGACACATGTCTGTTCGGCTGAATATTAGTAAAAATATTTTAAATTACTTGATAACATGTCCTGTCTGTCAAATAGCTCGTCCGCCAGGACATGTTAAACCTATAGAGCTGGGTCAGATGGAGGTGATTGATGTACCGTTTCAGAAAGTTGCTATTGACATAGTGTGACCCCTCCAACTAAGTGCACATAAGAACAGGTATATCATAACATAGTTTTATGTGGCCATTCGATGGCCAGAAGCCATTCCCCTGAAGAATATAACAACACAATATATTAATGAGGCACTATTATCCATATTCTATATGTTATACTATCAAACAATGGTCCACAATTTTCCTCGGATTACATTTCCAAGTGTGTGCACTTCTTAATATAACGATTACTCGTTCAGCTATCACCCACAATCTAATGGAATGGGGGAAAAATTAAATGGTACACTAAAGGCAATGTTAAGAAAAGTTGCTAATGAAGAACCAAATAACTGGGATTTTTACCAGCAATTCTATTCGCCTATCTCAAGTCCCAAATGAGACCACGTTATTTTCTCCGTATGAACTTATCTTTGGTAGGAAGGTTAGGGGACCGATGTCAATATTAAACAAAACTATTTACAAATGAAAACATTTCAGAGGAGAATAAAACTGTTAATGAGTATGTAACTGACAGAAGAAACAGATTCTGATTAAAAACAGGGTTAGAATAAACACAATTCAACACGACAATAAGGAGGGTCGAAAATAAGAAATACTATGACCTCAATACAGTTGTTAAGGATATTCAAGTGGGTGATCAAGCATTGGTAAATAAACCAAAAAGGGAAATACACTAACATTATACTCGGAATGCCCATTCAAAGTAACTGTCTAAATATCGAAATACAAAAAGGACAATGTCGATAAGTCTATCACCTGAATAGAGTTACCAAATATTTTGACAGGAATAACTGTACACATACTAACAGTAACAAAGATAACATAATGCATGGCACAATCGCAATAGTTGTAACAGAAGAAGAAACCGAAGACACAATCAGCAAAGGGGGGGGGATGATATGAATGTACCTGTTATTAACCATAGTGATAGCACAGTAATTGATATTAATACACATCTGAATGATACACAGAAAGCTGAAGTTAATGAAATATTACATGAGTTTAAGGACATAATTTCAGATATTCCCGGAAAGACATCCGCCGGAATTCATAAAATAGAATTAATGTCTAGCAAACACTAGGACGTACACCGTACCACTGAATATGGTAGATCATTTAGATGAGGAAATTGATAGAATTTTAAACCTTGGAATAATTGAAGAGTCAAATTCACCGTATTCCTCTCAGCTGGTGTTAATTAAAAAGAAAGACGGCTCTATTCGGACAAAAATATACTAATTAAAGGAGTTGTTTACAGTGCTCTGTTCTTTGTGATATTTTCATTTGTCCTGTGCGCTAAAGAATGCTCTATGCTGAGACGTCCTAATCTTTGTGTCCTGTTCTCTAATTTTGTCCTGTTCTTGTTTTGCTATTTCATCTATTCGGACATGCGTTGGTAATAGAAAGCTTAACGCTATAACGAAAACAGTAGCTGAAGTTATGCCGAATCAGGATATACTGTTAGCTCATTTGTGGAAAGCAAAATATTTACCAGCTAGACTTAGCAAAGGGATACTGGCAGATTCCTCTTGATAATAAAAAGCAAAGAGTACACAATTTTCAAGGCCCTGATGGGCTATATCACTATAACTATATGCCATTTTGCCTAGCAAATTCCCCGGCAAAATTTTAAAAAATAGTTAAGAAATTATTCACAATTGTAAAACATGTAGTTACATATTTCGATGGCATCTGTATCTACAGAGATGACTGCGAAACACAGGTGCATGTCACCAGACACGTTTTTGGCTTTCTTAAAAAATTCTGGTTTTACCGTTAAACCCTCTAAGTTAGAGATTGGAAAACAATCAATTGCGTTCCTGCGGCATACATTAGGTGCAGGTTTATTGAAACCCGATTGTAACAATTTAAATAAAGTGTTAAGAATCGATCCGCTTAGAAATAAGAGACAAGTAAGAGGTTTAGTTTGTCTGATCTCAAAATACAGCAAATTCATTCCAAACTTTTCAACACTAGCAGCAACGTTGACTGACCTCACCAAGAAAGGTAGACCTAACAATATTCATTGGACGGATGAATGCTAACAGTCATAGGAAGCTATTCAAAGTACTTATCTAATAAACCAATATTAGTGCAACCAGACAATAATGACCAGTTCATAGTTCGAACAGACGCCTCGACCAAGTGACTAAGGGCATGTCTATTAAAGAACAGAAACAACGCCCTCCATCCAGTTAAGTACACGAGCTATAAACTTATAAATAAGGAGACGCACTATTCAACAATAGAAAGGGAATGCTTGGCCATAATATGGGGCATTTAAAAATTGGCTTATTATTTAATGTGATCACCAAGCATTAAAATATCTTAATACTGCAAAATTGGGAAATTCACGAGTCACCAGATGGGCATTAATTTTATAGGAATTGAATTTCGGCATTGAATATATCAAGGGAGAAGAAAACACTGTTGCAGATTTTTTATCCACGCAATGGTGAATGAAAACGAAATAAAAATATGCCTTGTAATTATATATTGTATAGTTAAAAAATTAAAAAGAATTTTTATGTTGACATTCAATGGTCTGATTTTTTATTGTCGTACCTACATTTTTAACTCTTAAATTGTATCTAAATTGTTTTTATTGATTGCAGTGTACCATAACCCTGTTTGATTTTCAGGGATACTAAAATAATGTTTTTTGGTAAAGACCATTTCGTTTGGCTGAAGGTTTATTCTTGATGATGATTATGGGATTTTTCTGTGTCTGGTGTCGATTTAACTCCATGAGTTAAATATGAAATGGAAAAGGGGGGGATATGTCAAGTATGGGAGTTCATTAGTAATGGTTGCGACTGGGTATTATGTTCATTACGTGCGGTGTGTGTTCGAGAGTTTTAATTAATGAACTCTATTCCCACGCTTGACTTCTAGTTAGTGAACGCTCTTCCCGCTTTACTCTATGACGTATTTTTATGCTGAGTGTGACGTATTGTCTAGACCGATAATGGATATGAGGTCTGGGTGGCGGCCAAAGCCCTTGCCGATAATTTTAACTAAATGGCCATGAGAATGCCGCTCCTAGACCCCCGCTTACGTTGCGACCAGACAATTCCCTTGACGGTGGGGGGGGGGGGGAACACAGGCCGGGGGGGGGGAGGTTCCTGACGTGCTTTCGCACAGTCTGGCGGCGGGGAGACCCGGTGTCGGCCCGTGAGGAGTATGCCGGGGGGGGGGTATTAAGAGCTCAAGCTTGATGACCCACCGACGCCATCTCCAATGTGATGTTATTAGTACAAACCAGACATCCAATAGCCTTTTATTTCATGCTGTGAGCCATAGTACCCTAGACAAAATAACCCCGCTGTAACTGTCATTCAAGCACTCTAGTACCAACCAGACATCAGATAGCATGGCATTGACATGCTGCGACCATAGCACCATAGAGAAGGCAACCAAATATTAGACTAAAGTCAAAACGATATTTTTGAAATTAGGTCAAACGAATATTTGCCATCGAGGGCTTGGCCAGGAACATATCATTTTTTGTTTATATACAAATGGAAACGCTGAGAAATTTGTATTCGAAAGAAATATGAAAACGTAATTTATTTTTAGGTATCACTTCAAAGTATCAATTACTACAATTGATATAACAGTATGTACAGAGCAGACCAGTAAATTAACTCTAAATATTAACGAATGGAGTTTAACTTGAACAATCATGTTTGTACTGGTACGCAGGCAACACGCATAGTGCTAGCATTCTGAACAGTATTTGACAGTATTTCATTGCTTAAAATACATTCTATCTGCCAGATATCTAAATACAGTAAGACATTCTATCAGAAAATATGAAAACTTACTTAATACTAAGGCAAATGAAAATATTGTATTACCTTCTTTCATAAAACACAAAATAACTTAATACCTTCTTACCTGCAAATACACAATATGTTAATACATTTTTTCTTGCCAATACAAAATATCTCAATACGTTCTGTATGAAAAGTAAAAAATATCTTAATATGTACACAATATCTTAATACCTCTTGTCTGACAAATACAAAATATATTAATTCTAATAAGAACTATTTTTATTACATCTAATCAGTAATTTATTTAGTCGTGGCATATAAGACTGTTAATGACGCTATCAAATGGCACATCTCTATCAACCCCGTCTAGGTATGACGCTATACAATGGTACGTCTCTATCAACCCCATTATTTATAAAAGAAGCCAAGATCGTCCTTATTTAGGTATGTAATTATATCATTAGAGTCAGTAGTTCCAGTAAAGGCATGTAATTGTATTATTAGAGTAAGTAGGTCATGTAAAGTTATGTATTTGCATCATTAGAGAAAATAGGTCGTGTAAAGGTATGTAATTATTTCATTATAGGAAGTGGGTCGTTTGAAGGAATGCAATTATATCTTTAGGTATAAGTAACTCATTTCAAGTTTGTAATTGTATCATTAAAATAAGTAGGTCATATAAGGTTATGTAATGGAATCATTAGAGCAAGTAGGTCATGTAAAGGTATGTTATTGTATCGTTAGAGGAAGCAGGACTTGTAAAGGCTGTAATTACACTATTAGAGGAGGTAAGTCGTGTAAAGGTATGTAATTATATCATTAGAGTAAATAGGTCATGTAAAGTTATGTTATTATATCATTAAAGTAGATCTATTAAATGTGTAATCCAAAGAGATCCCATTGTGGAATTTCTGTAATTAAAATTTAACGTTTCTAAGTTGTAATGAGGTCACCACTCTAGCATACTGGCAGGTCTACCATGTACTTTATTGCCCCTGCTACTGCATGATACTAGTTTTAACATTTGGATACTTAGACAAAATATATGACAGATATCACAGTCAACTATAGCTGTGTTCCAGGCCTAACTTTCAGATTTTAAAAACAGTATAGTTATCAATCCAAGGAAAGCACTGACAACTGTGTAATATACAGGCGTGGCAGGGTTCCCAGTCAAGTCAATCAGCGGTCCCATGATAGCTGAGCACACCGTGAACCCACAAGGCAACATGGACGCAACAACAGCTATGGCCACACCCGTGTTTTGATCATCGCTCTATGGAAGAAAAAGATAATTAAGGGTTGGTGGTGGTTGTGGTAGGGGAGATAATAATAATAATAATAATAATAAAACGCATATTTGCAAATCACGCTTCATCCCAAAGGCTCGAAAAGCTGTACAAAGTCATCCATATTAAAAAAAAAGAAATGAAAAATCTATATTCTACCACACTGAAATACAAAATGCAACATAACAAAAACTACATACGAGAATATCCATTCTAAGTCGTTCATCCCTTGCAACCATAAACAAAACAGGCGACTATACATCTAGGAGATAATAGCTAGCTGGAAAAGATGGTAGACAAATTAACCCCAACAGGTGTTTGCGAAATAGATATGTATTAAAATTGGTTTTGAAAGACTCCAGTGTCTCGCTGTTTCTGAGAGCAACAGGAAGTGTTTTCCAAATTGTTGGGCCAGCAAATGCGAACGTGCGCCTTCCGTAAGGCTCAAGGCAAACACGTGGTATCCAGAGTTTGCCACTATCTGATGATCGGAGTTGTCTAGCGGGTACATAAGGCGTCATGAGCGCTTTGAGATAGAACAGCGCCAGGTCATGCAAGCAGCGGTCGCACAGATGTTGCAATTTTGTGCTCTATATGAGCGCGGAGCGGCAGCCAATGCAACTCTCTCAGAAGTGTTTTAGCATGATCAAATTTGCGTTTGCAAAAAAAAAAAAAATGCGAGCTTCATTATTTTGTGCTTTTTTAATTTTATCCAGGAGCGTAGCTGAAAGACCAAACATGAGAGCATTGCCGTAGTCCATACGTAATAGCACGAATGCAGACATCAGCCATTTTGTTGCATCAAACGTTAAGAAAGGTCTGATATGACTCATTCTGGGCGGCTCTAGAAAAATTGCCTTGCAAATCCTATTAATGTGATTTTCCATAGTTAGTGTTCTGTCTAAGTAGACACCCAGGTTTCGCACTGTTTGTGCAAATTCTATCTGTATCCGTAAGAGAGAAAGGGGTGGTGTGTTATTTACAGATTTTAGATTTTGAGTGGTAGCAATGGATATCAGCTCGGTCTTTTCATCGTTCAATTTGAGCTTATTTATGTTTATCTAGTGATTAACTGACTCCATTGTCTTCTGTGTCATACTAAGAAGCTTGGGGAACTGAGAGGGGGTCACGGATTGCTTAAGTTGGGTATCATCCGTCATATAGCATATCAAAATGCTTGATCACTGCATCCAAAGGCTAAACATACATAGTGAAAAGCACTGGACCCAAAACTGAGCCCTGGGGTGCTCCGAATTCAATAATAGATTGCTTCGAGGTCAAGCCGTTTGCGATAACTGATTAGACCCGATTTGTCAGATACGCACGGAATCATCTCAGGACGGTATCGGTAAAACCAAACTTTTTTGCAGATGTTTTTAGAAGTATGCCGTGGTAAAGCGTATGGAATGCTGCCGATAAATCAAGTAATAAAAAAAAAAAGGGATACCCTGCCCTCACCACAAGATGATAGCAGGTCATTTACTACGTGCAACAAGGCTGTCTCGGTAGAGCGATGCGCCCTGTATGCTGACTGGAAAGGCTCAAACAAGTCACACTCAGTGAGGTGGTTCAGAGTGGTGCGCCCTGTATGCTGACTGGAAAGGCTCAAACAAGTCACACTGAGTGATGTGGTGAAGGAGCAAACGGAGAACGACTTTCTCTAAAATTTTAGAAACAAAAGGTACATTTGAGATCGGGCGATCATTTTCCAACACATTTTGGTCAAGATTTGCTTTCTTTAGCAGTGGAGTCACGACCACCTCTTTAAAAGAGGATTGAACAATACCAGTTTTCAAAGACTGATTTATGATGCTAGTTACGATAGGGACTACTTCATCGAAACATTCGTACAACAACCCTGCAGGAATAGGGTCCAGCAAAAATGACTTTTTCGGGGAGTCAACCAGTATTTTCATAACATGTGATTCTGTGACCTCTAAAAATTTGCTTATAGGAGTGCCTTTAAACTGCAAGAATTCGGGAGCATCATTGCAAATGTCAAGTCTCGCCCTGATCTTCGTAAATTTCTTAATAAATAAATTATTTAGAGCGTCTGTCAGCTCATTATTATTTTTTTGTGGCATCCTTGTGTTTTCATCAATACATACAATATACCAAGGAAAAGAGCAAAACTGAAATTGACGAGTACAGGTGTTGATAAATCTCGGCTCGCGAGCCACATATGGCTCTTTAGCGACCTGAGTGCGGCTCGGCCAGTCGACAACAAATCGGTTTTGTCTCAGAAAAACTTAATTCTAGACAGATTCTTGACAAGAAATTTATCACTTAATTTTTTTGTTTACATCCTGCTGCTCATCTTTTGTTCTTTAGACTAATGAGTTTGCCGACCACTGGACTAGGACCATACTGCTTTGTGGCAGAGTCTTCGCGTGGGCCTCAGATATTGAATGGCCCAATGTTGAGACGGGAAGAAAATCTTTTAACTATGAATGCAGGAGGCAAAGTCCCGAAAAGTTATAAGTGTCCAACAAAAGTCACGTTATGTAACTTTAGGTGGCCATATCCATTTTTAAAGGTGTTGAGAAAATTCAAGGTAAAATTTCCAACAAAATTGACTGCATGTTAAAATTATCATGCGTCCCTCGCAAGCAGTTGGCGACCACCGAAAGTTCACAACTTATTGGCTGGAGTGCTCCTACTGACAGCTGCCTTTTACCTAGAGACCATCAATATCACTCAACACACCTGTTCCAGGGCGAACTGGTTGGCTAATATGTAGGGTACTGTCACTACAACCGCTCGGTAGAGACCAGTCCAGGCGGCTGTGACGTAATAGGACCACAGGGTGGACAGGACTGCGCAAACAACGTTGACAGCTACGAAACCAGAACATGCGATGATCATCTCTAGCTTCCAGCCTGGATGGGGATTATGGGGTGGGGAGGGAGGTATGATAAAATAGATGGATTGTATAATTTATAATAACAGTTCAATTAACATGTGACGGATGAAAGGATAAATGAATGGATAAATAAATGAATAAAAGAATGGATAAAATTAATGGATAAATTAATGGTTAACATGAATGAATAAAATGATTGGATAAAATGAATGAATACAATGAATGGATCAAATGAATGTATATAATGAGTGAATAAAATAAATGGATACAATGGATGTATAAATTAATGGATAAAATGAATGAATAAAATTCATGGATAAGTGAATGGATAACATGAAGGGATAAAATGAATGGTTAAAATGAATGGATAAAATGAATGGATAAAATGAATTAAAAAAATGAATCAATAAAATGAATCAATAAAATGAATGGATGAAATGAACGGACAGCGAGTGAACTGTACATCTTTTACGGATTCAGAGAAATGTCAAGATCACAAATTAACAATGCAAACACAAATAAATAACGCTGTGAAGAGAGGTAAAAGTCGACAAACGATCTCAAAAGCTTGAGTTATCCAACATCATCACACACCTAAGGCAATATCCCATACCTATTCTTCGTAACAGCATCTCCTGACAGAGGCTTCCAATGATGAACATGACATAGATTATCAAGATGCCGCTGGATCCAACTTCGATACCTTTGAGGTAATCTTTGTACTCCTGGGTAGTGACCTTTGCGTTGGGGTCACCATTAAAAATTCCTTCGCCTGTGGTGTTAAAGATAAAGAACAAAAAGTCAATATAAGCTGTTACATTATATTAAGATATTCCACTCCCCCCCCCACCCCATACCTGCTTCCGTTTATTGTTTTAAAAAAAACAAACACGCCAAGTTTTTTTTTTTTTCCCCCAAATATGTTAACTGACGCACGTCAGTGTTCAAAATAAGCTCTTACATTATATTAAAATATTCCACTCCCCCCCCCACCCCATACCTGCTTCCGTTTATTGTTTTAAAAAAAACAAACACGCCAAGTTTTTTTTTTTTTCCCCCAAATATGTTAACTGACGCACGTCAGTGTTCAAGATCCTGTGGTGTCCGTAGTGTGAATTGTGACGCATATTGTACAATCTTTATCATCTCTTATCCATGTCGAGAAATGTTGTGATGATGACATTGAAATTTGGGAATCAATAAAGGAAAAATAGTCAAAATGGTTCTAACCAGAATAAGACTGTAGCGGAGCCAGGAGACATAGAGGTATTCAAAATTTATTTAACGAATTAAAGATGTTTCTATTTCAACTGTCTGTATTTAATCCTCGTTAGAAAACTGTTCTATGTGTGTATTATAATCTGTTCTTACAATCATTTTTTACTAATCTGAGAATGTCTTAGGACGCCATAATTAATGATAACATATCATTTTTAATGGATTTCATGGTTTATTGTAAAAAAAAAAAAAAAAAAAAAAAAAAAAAAAAAAAAAAAAAAAACAAAAAAGAATTAAAGATGTTTCTATTTCAACTGTCTGTATTTAATCCTCGTTAGAAAACTGTTCTATGTGTGTATTACAATCTGTACTTACAATCATTTTTTACTAATCTGAGAATGTCTTAGGACGCCATAATTAATGATAACATATCATTTTTAACGGATTTCATGGTTTATTGTAAAAAAAAAAAAAAAAAAAAAAAAAAAAAAAAAGCTATAAATAGCATCCAACGTCATTTTACAAATTATTATGGGTCACAGCGATATTATGTTTAGTATACGTCTACTCTTTATTTTATCTTAGGGGTTATATTCTGCTGAGGTTTCATACTTGGCAGGGCTAAATAATTAAAGGTAGAATTGAAAATCCCACAGAGCTGAGGAATACAATATTATAAGATACGATTCTTTTATTGATCCAAACAAAGGTAAATGTTTTTTTTGATTTCATTGTACATTTTCAGCACATACATAAAATAATTTGAACACAAGACCTCTACATTAAATTATTTTACTTGTGAAAAAACAGCCATTCAGTGAATTCTCTTAGCCATATCAAGGACTTATTAGTTTTTATTAAGATGTGTGACTTCAGGAGGAGCGCGCTGCTAAATTCGTATAGACTGGGGAACAAAAGAATTTTTATATCTTTCAGCCTTCTCCCTGAGAGATAGAATTTGTCCCGAACTGGCCGATCCTAAGTATCTGTGATGAAGAGTGTCTGATGTATCATCCAAAATGTGTTTAGTTTGTAAATAACATCTTTCTTCAATTAGTTCTTCAAGTAAAGGATGTGTAATTGGAAAAGTAGGGTGGACCTGCCCACCCGAAGCCAGAAACCCCAGCCGACCGCATGAATCCCAACGCAACGGGAGTAGTAATGCAATAACATGATTACATGTTGCGTAAATGGATATGAGACTTGGGTGGCGGAAAAAACTGATGTCAATGATTTTATTTATGAGGCCGTGATAAAGCTGCTCCAAGGTAACCGTAAGGTCCCAGCTTTTCGTCCCAACCGAGAGGCTCCCTTGGCGTGCGAGTGTGGTAACGCCACATCATTTCTCCTGTAGTGGACGCAAACCCAACCCAACCCTCAGGAGAGTCGGCTACGAGCGCTTTAAGCGCAGCGCTTTCGGTCGACGGGACATCCCCCATGCCAGGGGGAGGTTCCCAGCACGCCATCGCACGGTCTGTCGGCGGGAAAACCCGGTGTCTGGCCCGCGTGGAGGTGTGCAGGGATCATGCATTAAGAGCTCGAGCTCGACGCCCCCCCCCTCCCCGACGCCAATAAATAGTTTGGTATCTGTACACCATTTTGTCAATTATTTCATTGCGTTTGGACTCACCCACAAAATTGACGACGTACACTTCGTATGAATAGAGAGCTCCAATCAAGAAAAATGTTGCTATATTCAGAATGATTTGTTTCTTCTGTCTTCTAATGAATCCCACAATTCCCTTGTGCTCCGTCAGGTCAGCATGGTCAATAACTTGAGGATTCTCAAACGTGTACCCGCCAGACGCAAAGAAGAGTCGAGGGTCCTTTTCATCTGCCTTGGATGTACTTTTGTGCAATGAATTACTTGAAGCAATTAACTTGGATTTTTCATTACTCGTCTCAACGACCGGTCTGAAGGAAAGACCATTTTGGTATAGAACTTTAAAAAAAATTGGATTTCTGCGACAGTGAGAAAGGTTAAAACAACTTTAATTAAAATAACATTAACTTCATCACTGTTAGATAACCATATCATTAATGTCACCACTGTTAGATAACCATGTCATTAATGTTATTATTATGAGATAGCCATTTCATTGCTTTTATCACGGTTAGATAACTGTATCGTGGCCAATCTTGTCCCTTTTCGAACTCACTCCTTTAAAATTCATAAAGAAACAAATTGACAGTAAAAATTGAATTGTACCTCTCCCCCCCCCCCCCCCCACACACACCTCTTCTCTACTATTGATATTCATTATTTAGTTAACCATGGGCCAAGATTTCTCTGTTTGTTAAATTACAATTATGTTTTTTTTACCACCGCTACAAATGCTGAGCTTACACAGTGCAGAAAAATATTTAACATCTATTCAGTACACGTTAACTTACTCTTCGGTGTCTGACTCCAAGGAATCTACGCTGTTGGTGCAGCAGAAGCCGGAGGTCAGTGTTGTGGTCAATCCTGACAGAAGGAGAACAAAACACAGGGCGGAGAGGAAGGCACATTGTGCCGCGTTGCTGTCGTGCATTGTTCCTACAGTGAGCAGATTCCCAAGTCCAACTGACCCCAGGACAGCTATCAGACATCCACCTAGGAAGGTGTTAGAAGCGGAGTACTATTTTGCAATAAGAAACGTAATTGGAAATATGAGGGATGTGTTAAATGTAGTATTTGGTCTTAATATGTCTATACGTAATGCCTCAATGACAAATTATTTCGATCTCTTGTGTCTATGTCGGGCCTGCACAACTCAAAATGTAAGGCGGGCCGTAATACTTATGAAAAACTTGTGCGGACAGAAAGAAAATAGGATAGGGGTGTGTGGGGGGGGGGGCTGTTAAGAAATTAATAATAATAAGGACTATTTCGTTACTTACGAAATATATTAAACGTACGTAATACTTATGAAAAACTTGTGCGGACAGAAAGAAAATAGGATAGGGGTGTGTGGGGGGGGGGGGGGCTTTTAAGAAATTAATAATAATAAGGACTATTTCGTTACTTACGAAATATATTAAACGTGAAACATTTCACCGTTTCTCGGTAACATGTTTATCGTATTCGGGAGATATTTTGGAAGTGGCTGTTCTCAAGATGTCTTCCAAATGATCATCAGTCAGAAAGGGCGTTGCGTTCATTTGTCAATGTTCATTATTGTAAATGTATGTTCACATTTATAAGTGTTTCCGAATACACTAAAAGTGTTTAGTCCTACTTCGTCAACATTTGTGTACTTCTCACTGTCCATATGTTGTACAGAAAAAATGTCGTGAATATTTACACAACGATAAATGTTTATCAATTTAGTTTGATTTAATTTTTAAAAAACGTTTCAAATCAAATAGTCGTATACCTGGGGGAAAATAAAAAAAATAAAAAATCTATTTATTATTTAAAAATGAAATAAAAAATAAATATTTATTTTATTTTTCTGTGTGTATATATATATATATTGTATATATATATACACACAGAAAAATAAAATAAATATTTTTTTTTATATATATATGGTCTCCTGAGGACCAAGGGCCGTATTTTGTGCAGGCTGGTCTATGTTATGTCTGATACGTACCCAGTGAGGAAACCAGAATAGACCTGACGATGATATTGGAGTGATCTTCAGGTGGTGTAGACGCCAGAGCAAATGTTTTCAGAAAACAATTGGAGGAATCATATCCACAGTCGATCAATGCATACCCCACCATTGCTAGAATCGCAAAGTATTGGATCGGTGCTTCTTCGGTGGGTAGCTCTGTTGTGCTACTCTCAAACTGAGTAGTTAAAAGTAAACTGATATTCGATGTTGGTCCTATACGTGGATATTCTGTCGCGGTTATTCCCATTACTGACAATAGAGTTTCATTTGGCCATTCTGTTTTAGTAGTAAGACTTTCTTCTGTGGTTACATTCCACCAAGTTGAATTGCTTGGAGTGAGTTTATCGTGGTACAGAAGTTTTACCGCGTTGCCGATGAAAATGAAAAATGTCCCGGCGACTTGAAAGGATGTTGTGCATACTAATATAATGGCTTTGGCCCTCCTCGATGTGGCCAATTTGTCCATGATGAAACCTAGGGTAGGGATGAGCACGATGCCAAAAGTGGCAGCGACTGTCCCTGGCAGAGACGAGAATCGGATCGGTACTCCAAGAGTTTGTAGGTTGGCTATCATGAGGATGACCTCAAACGCCACACAAGCCTCAATGCCGACCATGTGAGTGACCAGAAGTAAACTCTTGAACAACTGACCACACCGACTAGGCCGCTGTTGTGCCGAAGAGTCATCCATGTTTTCTCCTGATTCTTTAATTGTAGGCTAATGCGAATTCACCAGTTGTGCATGCAGTGTCAAATTTTATTGGAATAATTTATCAAAAGGAATGACTTTCATATTTGAACATTCCATTTAACCTGAAGAGATAGCAAGTTTTATGTGTAATCACATTTGAAAAAAAAAAAAAAAAAAAACAACAAAAAACAAAAAAACTATACTGTAATTTTTTTGTTGTTGAAATAAACCAATTTTCATGGAAAAATATTAATAAAGAGACATTAAAATTTAGAATGCAGTGATACCTCGACATACGAATGTCATGGCATTCGGGGATTTTTGAGATACGAGCCGTCGAGTGAGCGATGTTTTGCTTTGAAATACGAGAAAAATTTGAGATACGAGGAACTGGGTCAGCGGGTCGGCCGGCTGCACACGAACACACCAGTCGTGTCTCGTGCGTTTCACATTGTCAGTGTACTTTTTTGCCTCGCTGTCGAGGCATCTTTGATAAGTTGTGCTCGCGAATTGTACTTTTTAGGCAGTTACAGTGCTTTCTCACATTTCTTTTTATAACCATGGGTCCGAAGAAAGTGAGTGGAAAGGTCAGTGCTCAGAGGGAGATGATGTCTATTGAATTAAAGTGTGAAAACATAGAAAAACATGAGCAAGGTGTGCGAGTGACCGACTTGGCGAGACAGTACGGGCGTAATACTCCAACGCTATGTGCTGTGCTTAATCAGAAGGAGTCGATAAAGGGTATAATTTGAGCTAAGGTGGTTACAATAATCTCTAAGCTCTGTACCTCTCTCCATCAAAAGATGCAGCAACTGCTGATGATATGGGTGACAGAGAAGCAGCTTTGAGGAGATACCTTAACAAAGGGCACTTTATAAAACAAGTTTATTTATTTAAATTCTCTTTTATTATCTTTTCACACAATATTTGTCATTTGTAAATGCATTTTTCATATTCAAAAACACGTAACAAAAACAACTAGGGTGGCATTTTGGTTGGGGGGGGGGTAGAACGGATTAATGGCATTTTAATTACGGAAGGTTACGGAACGAATTAAATTCATATCTCGAGGTACCACTCTACCTTTATTTAAGGAACATTTTCTTTATTTTACTTTTTGGACTTTAGTGATATAATCCAATCGAATGTCATGGATGCTGACTAAAATTTAGAAAATTTATTCATTTGAATACAAGAAACACAATAATAGCATTCTTCAAATGTCAGGACTTTAATAATGTTGTAAGGCCTTAAGTAATAACCTATAAAAATGTAATTAAATAAGCTCCCCTTCGTTGTTTAAATTAAATTTCATGTCAGTCGTCAACTGAAAGCCCCATCAAACATCAACTAAATGCCCCATCAGACATCAACTTAATGCCCCGCCAGTAGTCAACTTAAAGTCTAGTCAGGCACCAGTAAATCGGTCACACAGAAACCTAACAAGACTTTTGTAGGTTAAGGTTTGTTAAACATTCAGTCAGCAAACTGTTGGCGTCTGAAACAAACGAGAGCTTCTTAGCCGGAAAGTAAATAGATAGATGAGCATAGTATTTTTGGCCTTGAAATAAGACAGGACATTGACAAGGACGTTTCGACTCAATGCTTCATAAGCACACAGACAAACCAAAAAATAATAACTAAATGACATTTGAGTATTCAGTTAATTTAATGATACGTTTTTGATTTCTATCTGCCGTTTCTTGTTGCGTCCTGTCTGGCTGATTAACGCATTTTATCGAAACTTCATTGTAATAGTCCCGTCATTTTTTTTTTTTAAACCCATAAAAACCTTTCTCCACTATTACTTTACTTTAAATGGCGACTTGAACGTTTCCCTCATATATTACGGCTAATGCATATGTTCATATTCAGCTAATCTCTTGTATATATAGTTCCCTTCTGTGTGTCCTGCTTCTACTTCAAAACCGCCCTCCTCAAACTCCACATGTTTCATATTAAGAGTACTGAGGGAACGAATTAACTTTGTCACGCAGCGTGTTTCATGCGACACGTCTGAACTCCGGTCAATGGGCTGCTATGTTCTTCATAATGCGACTTTTGTTTTATGAGTCTTTGTTATAAAATGAAAGACAGTATCTTCTCGGTCAACGGGTTTTTGGTACAACGTCATCTCTATTCCGAAATACGCCAATTGCCTGTTCCTATCAGTTGGTTTTTCTTGATACAAAACGTTGACGAAGGCAAAGCATGGCAAAGGTCAGGAGATTTCGTTGCATATTGTAAATAATGAGAAGCTAACTCTTTGTTTGGCTAACAACTGAACCGGGTATTTTCTCACAATACGCGGGCCTGTTATAAAAAACTGTGTTTGTGGGTGTGTGTGGGGGTATGTGTGGGTGTGTATGTGTGTGTGTGTAGGTGTGTGTGCGGGTGTGGGTATGTGTGGGTCTGGGTGTGTGTGTAGGTGGGTGTGTTATTATTATTTACCAGATTCAGAATAGTTAAATAAATCTCCTTTTCCTTCTTTTATTTTGAATTCTTTTCCATTTCACGCTTGGTTTTCCTGTGCGTACATCTCACTGTGTGTACATCTCACTGTGTGTACATCTCACTGTGTGTACATCTCACTGTGCGTCTCGCAGGTCAGGTTTCAGCCCTCACTACTTGCAAGCCTTGCCCTGTGTACACTTATGGCTAAACCATTTCAGGTCATCGCAAACGCTGTATGAAAATCTGACCAAGATTCACACGAAGTAAACTCAAGTTTGCACTTTTCACTCGTTGAATAGAAACATTCTTTGAATAGAAACATTCTTTGAAAAGAAACATTCTTTGAATAGAAACATTCTTTGAATAGAAACATTCTTTGAATAGAAACATTCTTTGAGAAGAAAAATTCTTTGAATTGAAACATTCTTTGAGAAGAAACATTCTTTGAATAGAAACATTATTTGAATAGAAACATTCTTTGAGAAGAAACATTCTTTGAATGGAAACATTCTTTGAATAGAAACATTCTTTGAATAGAAACATTCTTTGAATAGAAACCTTCTTTGAATAGAAACATTCTTTGAATTGAAACATTCTTTGAGAAGAAACAATCTTTGAATAGAAACATTCTTTGAATAGAAACATTCTTTGGGAAGAAACATTCTTTGAATAGAAACCTTCTTTGAATAGAAACATTCTTTGAATAGAAACATTCTTTGAATAGAAACCTTCTTTGAATAGAAACATTCTTTGAATTGAAACATTCTATGAATAGAAACATTCTTTAAATAGAACCATTCTTTGAATAGAAACATTCTTTGAGAAGAAACATTCTTTGAATAGAAACATTCTTTGAATAGAAACATTCTTTGAGAAGAAACATTCTTTGAATAGAAACATTCTTTGAATAGAAACATTCTTTGAGAAGAAACATTCTTTGAATAGAAACATTCTTTGAATAGAAACATTCTTTGAGAAGAAACATTCTTTGAATAGAAACATTCTTTGAATAGAAACATTCCTTGAATAGAAACCTTCTTTGAATAGAAACATTCTTTGAAAAGAAACATTCTTTGAATAGAAACATTCTTTGAGAAGAAATCTTTGAATAGAAACATTCTTTGAATTGAAACTTTCTTTGGGAAGAAACATTCTTTGAATAGAAAAAATCTTTGAATAGAAACATTCTTTAAATAGAAACCTTCTTTGAATAGAAACCTTCTTTGAATAGAAACATTCTTTGAATAGAAACATTCTTTGACAAGAAACAATCTTTCAATAGAAACATTCTTTGAATAGAAACATTCTTTGAATAGAAACATTCTTTGAATAGAAACATTCTTTGAATAGAAATCTTCTTTGAATAGAAACATTCTTTGAATAGAAACATTCTTTGAATAGAAACATTCTTTAAATAGAAACATTCTTTGAATAGAAACCTTCTTTGAATAGAAACATTCTTTGAATTGAAACATTCTTTGAATAGAAACATTCTTTGAGAAGAAACATTCTTTAAATAGAAACATTCTTTGAATAGAAACATTCCTTGAATAGAAACCTTCTTTGAATAGAAACATTCTTTGAAAAGAAACATTCTTTGAATAGAAACATTCTTTGAGAAGAAATCTTTGAATAGAAACATTCTTTGAATTGAAACTTTCTTTGGGAAGAAACATTCTTTGAATAGAAAAAATCTTTGAATAGAAACATTCTTTAAATAGAAACCTTCTTTGAATAGAAACCTTCTTTGAATAGAAACATTCTTTGAATAGAAACATTCTTTGACAAGAAACAATCTTTCAATAGAAACATTCTTTGAATAGAAACATTCTTTGAATAGAAACATTCTTTGAATAGAAATCTTCTTTGAATAGAAACATTCTTTGAATAGAAACATTCTTTGAATAGAAACATTCTTTAAATAGAAACATTCTTTGAATAGAAACCTTCTTTGAATAGAAACATTCTTTGAATTGAAACATTCTATGAATAGAAACATTCTTTGAAAAGAAACATTCTTTGAATAAAATAATTCTTTGAGAAGAAACATTCTTTGAATTGAAACATTCTTTGAATCGAATTATTCTTTGAATAGAAACATTCTTTGAGTAGAAACATTCTTTGAATAGAAACATTCTTTGAGAAGAAACATTCTTTGAATAGAAACATTCTTTGAGAAGAAACATTCTTTGAGTAGAAACATTCTTTGAATAGAAAAATTCTTTGAGAAGAAATTTCTTTGAATAGAAACATTCTTTGAGTAGAAACATTCTTTGAGAAGAAACATTCTTTGAATAGAAACATTCTTTGAATTGAAACATTCTTTGAGTAGAAACATTCTTTGAATAGAAATATTCTTTGAATAGAAACATTCTTTGAGAAGAAACATTCTTTGAATAGAAAAAATCTTTGAATTGAAACATTCTTTGAATAGAAACATTCTTTAAATAGAAACATTCTTTGAATAGAAACATTCTTTGAGTAGAAACATTCTTTGAATAGAAACATTCTTTGAGTAGAAAAATTCTTTGAATAGAAACATTATTTGAGTAGAAGCATGCAGAGTTGGAGTGAAAACATGAAACTAATTTTTTTAAAAAAATGACTATTTATTTATTTCACTTGTTAATTACGTTAAGCTCTCAGTTACCGTCAAGACCAGAATAACACTGGACGTGTGGGTACCGAGATGTAACCCAGTCGCAGACGTAACTTGTACTTACAGACGATCACGTGACCTAGTGCCTGAGCCATGCCTACAGCACGCTTGTGAGATCACCTTGATAGTTTGCTGTTTTCTTCTTACGTGATCACGCTCTATGTCGAGATAATGTAACGTCGACGATTACAACCAGAAAGCGCTTGAGTTCCTGTTCACGATTACAACAAGACAACGCTCGATTTTATTTTCACGATTACAACCAGAAAGCGCTTGAGTTCCTGTTCACGATTACAACCAGAAAGCGCTTGAGTTCCTGTTCACTATTACAACCAGAAAGCGCTTGAGTTCCTGTTCACGATTACAACCAGAAAGCGCTTGAGTTCCTGTTCACGATTACAACCAGAAAGCGCTTGAGTTCCTGTTCACGATTACAACAAGACAACGCTCGATTTTATTTTCACGAATACAACCAGAAAACGTTAGATTTTCTTTTTCCCGACTGCAACACACAATCTATGAATGAAGGACAATCTAATAGTATCGTGTTTGTCGAATTTCTTTTAACAATTGAATGAAATGTGTTTAATCCATATTTTATCATTTTTATGACTTCCTGACTGGCCCATTGCATTTCAGCTTCAACATGGATACGATCTTTCAATGTTGACTGGATTAAAAGACTCGATACTTTGTAAGTGTCTCGTTAAAAAGCTCTATTAATTAAAACATTAAGAAAAACTATTGACTGTAAGTCATAAAATAACTTCTCGCCCCTTGTTGCCAGTTTGAAAGCCCTATGACTGCACGGAATCATGTAGTGACAATAAGTAAATAAAAAACTATACTTTCTACCGTCTTTTGATCAAGTAAATATGTGAAATCCTTCAACCATCTTCCGTCAGCACGATATGCAATAGCTCGTCTCCGTCACTTCTGCTTCACTTATGCTCTCTTCCCCATCTCGTGAAAGATGACAATCTCTGACAGTGGTCAACTCTATTAATAGGTCTCTGTTATCTACCATCGTCACCTTTCTTATTGTGTGTTTGGGAGAGAGAGAAGAGAGAGAGAGAGACAGAGAGCGAAGAGACAAGCACAGAGAGATAGAGAGGCAGAAGGGCGCAAAGAGAGAGGGAGAGAGAGAGAGAGGGATAGAGGGAGAAAAAGAGAGAAGGAGACAGAGAGAGAGAGAGAAAGAGATAGAGAGAATGTTACATGTCCCGGTCGAGACACCCAGTGAGGTGTTGATGGATAGAGGTTTAGTCATTCAACAGCTCATGAAATGATTCCAACAATAGATTATTATCTTTCCATTGAAGCTCCGTAACAAATGAGAAAGTAAATGTGCTTTAACTCCATCGGTCTAGTTTGACCACTTTGGAGCTGAGCAAACCAAAGTTTAACCTGAATCCGTGTACACATTTATCAAGTGGCGACTACTGCTGTCCGAAGTTTATTGCCCTTGATTCCGTATCATTGAATGCAGCCATGAAATATTTAAAACTGTTATCGTGTATAGACATAGTGCAACTTTCTATGTTTAGTGTTTACAGTCATGACTTGGACTAATTAATGTCCGGGGGTCAAAGATAGCATGCGGACGTGATAACTGTTTCAGCCCGCGTGATACCAGTTTGAATGGTGCATCTGAACTCGGTTCTCACACAAATCTCGCTGTTGTACCTCGCGTGGTTGTATTCCGAAATGCACGATGTCAGTTCCTCTTGAAACCTTGAAGAGCATGGTTGGAATAAATGATGTGATAACACGTTTTGAGAAATTAAATGATGGATTATCAAGCTTTGACAAATAAAATGATTGATAATAGAGTTTTGACAAATAAAGTATCTGGAGATCTAGTTTTGACAAATGTGTGAATATTTTTTACACTTTTAAGATATTGTTCCATCCATGAAAATTTTAAAAAATACATGAGTATTGTTTCATCCCTGAATATAGTATCATTCCTGATTATCGTCACATTTATGAATAATGTAACATCTATGAATAGTGTAACATCCATAAATGAATATGTCAACATCCATAAATGAATATTGCAACATCCATGGATAAATATTGCAGCATCCATGAATGAATAGTGTAACATCTAAGAATATTGTACAATCCATGAATATTTTAAAATCCATAAGTCTTGCAACACACATTAATATGATAAGATCCACGAATATCGTAAATATCGCAAGACATTGTTTTAGGTGTCCTTAAAAAAAAAAAAAAAAAAAAAAAAAAAAAAAAAAACTAAACCGTTTATTTCATAACTGAATGAATACAGCACCAGTCCTTACACAACATCGTCCAAAAAAGTTGTCCAAAAGAGACCTCTGGCACTTCGTATACCAAATGACCATGACAGATATTCAAGACACGCTGGCATCGAGTAAAGCTAAATTAATTTACAAAATGTGCAGTCTGACATGCGAAGGAAAAGTCTATTGTTTAGGGCGATGGTTCTCAACATTTTGTTTTGTTTTTCTTTTTGTTTACGAACAATTTGCAAACCATGTGCCTCATACGCTTTTAGACTGATTTCATTCACTGTCTAAATTAAATATCTGGCTAAATTAAATCTCTGGCTAAATTAAATCTCTTACTAAGTTATAACTCTCTCTGACTAAATTAAATATCTAACTAAATTAAAACTCCCTCTGACTAAATTAAATATCTAACTAAATTAAAACTCTCTCTGACTAAATTAAATCTCTGACTAAATTAAATCTCTGACTAAATTCAATCTTTGACTAAATTAAATCTCTCTGACTAAATTAAATCTCTGACTAAATTAAATCTCTGACTAAATTAAATCTCTGACTAAATTAAATCTGTGACTAAATTAAATCTCTGACTAAATTAAATCTCCGACTGAATTAAATCTCTGACTAAATTAAATCCCTGACCAAATTAAAACTCTTTCTGACTAAATTAAATATCTAACTAAATTAAAACACTCTCTGACTAAATTAAATCTCTGACTAAATTAAATCTTTGACTAAATTAAATCTCTCTGACTAAATTAAATCTCTGACTAAATTAAATCTGTGACTAAATTAAATCTCTGACTAAATTAAATCTGTGACTAAATTAAATCTCCGACTGAATTAAATCTTATTTGTTTATGATTTAAGTGAAATTAAAAACCTTAAATTAAGATTAGATTCGTTTCTAGTTGATTAATCTCTTTAAAATTTTAGAAAAAAATACAAAAAATAATTTAAGAAACATTTCATTTCATCTTGATCTTTGCAATTAGAGATTATCCCAACGCATTGCTGTGGCAGATTGAAATGTATATGTAAATAAGCTTTCTAAAGTAACACACAGCCAAGAGAGAGATTTTAGATACAATCTTTATCAGAGAGAGAGAGAGAGAAAACAGAAAACGTCAAGGGAAATGTGAAAAAGAACAGAGTAGTCACTCCAATCCTTTGGCATATAGTTTCTGATTTATTTACAGGGAAGGATAGAGAGAAAGTAGGTTGAGAACCAAATGGTTTGATTCCGGTTTAAGTTAAAAAAAATAATATGAGAGTGTAAAAACATTTTCATTAAACATTGTTGAGGTTTACAGCATTGAGGTCTGAATGCATTTGATGTGAACAAGGTATTAAGATAATGTCAACTCCTATGTTCTACTGGATTGATTAATTCGTCAAGTTTTTTCACACGTTGAATGCGTCGTACTATTCTCACTTTCACTGAATAAACTCATGTCCATTCATAATAATAATAACTTTAATATCTAAGTTTATTACTATGCACATAGACACATGAATGTAGCGCAGCTCGCCATCAGACATAAATAGTAAACATCTTACTTCCACAAAGTTCTACTCAAGACTGCCGCACAACTAAAACGTATCACAATACCGTCTACACAATACGTCACAATCAGCGTAAATATACGTCACAGAGTCAAGCACGGGAAGCGCGTTTACTATCCAATAAATCTCTCAAACACACACCGCGCGTAATGAAACCTAATACCCAGCCGCAACAATTACTAATGAACTCCCATACTTTACAGATGACCCCCATGTAATTCCAGTTAACTAAAAAAGCTCATTCACAGGACATATTGTTCTTAAAATTGGTTCGTAGACTAAGAGGGTTAGAGTTCCATTCCCATCTTAGGCCTAACAATTATGTGCGTTTTCTCCTCCTTAAAATCCCACCTATACAATAATATAACACAAATACAGAGTAAGCTTATTGTTTTATAACCTATATTGATTTTTTTTAACCTGGAATAATTCAAAAGGCAGAAAGGGGGATGTTATTCCACACCAGCCCACTGACGACTTCCTCACTCTCCTCCACTGCCCATAACACATATGGGCTAATGCAAGATCGATACTTACCAAAATTTAGGGTTCATTTATCAATAAAATTTATTACGATTAAAAAAAATGTTTCCTATCACATACCTGAAAAAACTCTCCACAACAAATCTCATATATCTGCGCAACTTCATTGCTTCTTCTATACATGTGCCGCTTCTTTGCTTCTTCTATACATGTGCCGCTTCTTTGCTTATTCTATACATGTGCCGCTTCTTTGCTTCTTCTATACCTGTGCCACTTCTTTGCTTCTTCTATACCTGTGCCGCTTCATTGCTTCTTCTATACATGTGCCGCTTCTTTGCTTCTTCTATACATGTGCCACTTCTTTGCTTCTTCTATACCTGTGCCACTTCATGGCTTCTTCTATACCTGTGCCACTTCATGGCTTCTTCTATACCTGTGCCACTTCTTTGCTTCTTCTATACCTGTGCCACTTCATGGCTTCTTCTATACCTGTGCCACTTCATGGCTTCTTCTATACCTGTGCCACTTCATGGCTTCTTCTATACCTGTGCTACTTCTTTGCTTCTTCTATACCTGTGCGTCTTAATTGCTTCTTCTATACCTGTGCCACTTCTTTGCTTCTTCTATACCTGTGCCACTTCATTGCCTCTTCTATACCTGTGCCACTTCATGGCTTCTTCTATACCTGTGCCACTTCATGGCTTCTTCTATACCTGTGCCACTTCATGGCTTCTTCTATACCTGTGCCACTTCATGGCTTCTTCTATACCTGTGCCACTTCATGGCTTCTTCTATACATGTGCCACTTCATGGCTTCTTCTAAACATGTGCCACTTCATGGCTTCCTCTATACCTGTGCCACTTCATGGCTTCTTCTATAAATTTGAAACTTCATGGCTTCTTCTATGCATGTGAAACATCATGGCTTTTTCTATACCTGTGCCACTTCATGGCATCTTCTATACCTGTGTCACTTTATGGCATCTTCTATACCTGTGCCACTTCATGGCTTCTTCTATACCTGTGTCACTTCATGGCTTCTTCTATACCTGTGCCACTTCATGGCTTCTTCTATACCTGTGCCACTTCATGGATTCTTCTATACATGTGCCACTTCATGGCTTCTTCTATACATGTGCCACTTCATGGCTTCTTCTATACATGTGCAACTTCATGGCTTCTTCTATACACGGGAACCACGGGATCATTCATTAAACGCTCAAAGAAGACGCAGCTGCAACCGTTGTATTTGAATGTTTTTTGTACTGACCTTTATCTAATCATACATTATACATTTCAGAATAAAATGCAATTTCTCAATGAGTTCCTACAGACTGCTGGCTGACACTGCATTTATAGATCATGATCTCCACCATACATGGGCGCCCGCAGAAAACGTTTTAAGGGGGGGGGGGCAAAAATTCGATTAACATTCCAGGGGGGGGGGCAAAAAACAATGAGTTCCTACAGACTGCTGGCTGACACTGCATTTATAGATCATGATCTCCACCATACATGGGCGCCCGCAGAAAACGTTTTAAGGGGGGGGGGGCAAAAAATCGATTAACTTTCCAGGGGGGGGGGCAAAAAATGTTTAGTAATGTTTTAATATAGTTTTAATTTACTGTAG